GCAGTTCAAAGTTCGCACGTCCTACACCGATATTATCTGAGGCAAACGGCAAGGCGGACTAACTCAAGACCACCAGACTCAACTACCACTAAACTCTGACGATGGAAGCGAGAAGGTTTTCGAAACGTCAGTTCAAATATAATGGTCCATGAACCCCCTCCTCTTCTTCCTTACCTTTGGGAGATGATGAACGCGATAAACAGGGTTTTGTCGTTTGGAAGCCCATGCATTTTCCTCGGAATATCCGCTTTAGGAGGAAATTACCGATGTCGCGTATTACTTTTAACAGCATATGTTAGTTAGCGGCCGGAAATGAGCCTTTGGCACAATAAGGCACCCCGTGAGAACGATATTTCTGATAGTGTCACAAGAGCTTTCGTCGACTTGGGCGCCCTATTTTCATCGGAAGCTTGAATAAGCATAAGGAAATGCGTTCATACCCGATGACTCGGACTCAGCGATTTCTGTCGGGTTTTGAAAAGATATAGAAATAAGAACAAGCAGCTGTCCCTGAAGGGTTTTATATTGTTTGCCATGAAATAACAGGAACATGCTATTTTTGAACTTCGCAGGGATTGACTGGAACATTATTTGTCCAATTTGGCATCCTCGAACTCTGCCATGGACATCAACAGAGGATGGACTTCCACGTGACTGACTTAGATGCAGATGTAAATTTTTATATTGTATAACCGCAAATACTGTTAAATAAACTCCTCTCGGTGGGACTTTCTTAATAGTTATCAAACGGTGACGCCTTAGGGAAGTACCCCCGTTGTACGGGAAAGGTCTAGACATTGTGTAAGTAAATCTTTTTCTACGGTATATCTAGCATGGCACATACTAACCCAAAGTAGGAGGTCATAAAGTATGAAACTAATCTGCAGAATTCATGTTACGCAGCAATTTGCGTCTACAGTTATATGACCATATCTTTATGCACATGACGAACAATGATGTGGCCATCGAAAAACGACATTCCCAGAAAAAAAAACTAGGCGAGTGAATTTAAACAGCGGCCATAAGCAGCAAGTTGAAGTGATAAATGTATTCTTCCTCGATTAAGTATAAATTAACGAACATGAAAATATCTGAGTAAAAAAGAAAACTGGTCGAGCACGGGAAAAATTTGTTTATTATTTTAAGTTTTAGAGCCCGTGCAGTAGTCCACCACCAGAGAGCAGCTGCACCAGAACAAGCCAGTCAACAATCAATAACGCAAATCAGAGGGTGACGACGCAGAGCTCTGTAGGCCGGGGCCAGATCGATACACCGATTTGCTGAGTTTCTATCCAGTGACATGAGTTTAACCGATCCTTTGTTTGTCTTGCTCCCGGCGTAAGCAAGCGACTTGACAGCTACGAAACTGAACTCATGGCTCGTTTCCGAAGTGTGGGCAGCCACTTGCGATAATTCCTCTCCTGGTTGCACAGCCAGCATTTGTTATATGCGCGACCATGTATGCATTCAGTCCGACCTCTCGTTTCAAGGACAGTTTACACATGCGATGTGATAATAGTTAATTTATGGC